AGATTAGGCTAGAAACAACACCGGAATGTTTCCTTCCTGCCTTCCTTACAGGATTAGCCCTGTAAAGTGGGAAAAAAACAAAATGAGATTTCCTCCAACAACCGGTTCTCTGAACTGCTTAAAAAGTTACCAACCGGTTCTCCCGTATAGGTGCGAACCGGCTGAATCCCACCACTGCCACTCACTTGCACATGTGTGTGCGACCCCCCCTCTGCACATGCATGCATGACCCCTCCCCAGGCTACGGAAGCTTTCCTGAAGCCTGGGGAGGGTGAAAAATCAGACCTCTTCCAGCTCTATTCTGATTGATTGATGGATTGATTATGGTTGCTGTGTCCCAGGGTCGTGTAATCTCCCTTTGCAACTTTCTGACAAGCAAAGTCAATGGGGAAGTCAGATTCACTGAACAGCTGTGTTACTAATATAACAACAATAGAGGCTCCATTTAGTTCCGCTGTAGTTGCTGTCTTTTTTCTTTTTTTTTAAGGAAACCAGTACACTTACAATCCAAGTGGAGCTGAAAAATTAAGTTGCTAAGTGAAACAGTTGTCAAAGGAATTTTGCCCCATTTCTTTCTTGCCTCAGTTGTTAAGTGAATCGCTACAGTGTTAAATAAGTAACACGGTTGTTAAGTGAATTTGGCTTCCCCGTTGATTCTGCTTGTCAGAAGATGGCAAAAGAGGATCACATGATCCTGGGACACTGCCCCGTCATAAATATGAGTCAGTTGCCAAGCGTCTGAATTTTGATCCTGCGACCATGGGGATGGGGCAACAGTCATAAATGCGAGGACTGATCGAAAGACACTTTTTTTTTCAGTGCTGATGTAACTTTAAAGGATTGCTAAAAAAAAATCGCTGTAACTCCAGGAGCATCTGTAATAAAGTCGGTGTTAAGTAAAACTCCCAGATACTTTAGATAGGACTCTGGATATAGCAGGATGGAAACCAGAGGTTTATATGCATTGGCAATCAATCTTTCTATTAAAGCAACTGAAGAGAAATGATGCCAAACTGCTGCTATTTACCTGGTCTCCATTTGAGATGTGAGTACAGATGGGTAAAAAAAAAAAATCAAAATTCAAACACAATCCTTTAGCAAAATTGTAATTTGGTTTCCACAAGTGGTTGCCAGTCATTTAAGAAACAAGCAATGCCCTGCGGATATCCCTGAGTTACTTTCCTTCTGATTTATAAATATACACAAAACAAGATTTTTTTAAAAAATATATCCAACCTCTTTTTTATTTGTTTGTTTGTATGTCTGTTACAAAGAACACTTGTTATAATATTTCCACCTGACATTTTCCACCAACTTTTTTTTAGATTTAATAAGGTTAGCAGCTTCAACGGGAATGTTTCAGTGCTCAAGGTAAAAAAAAAGACACTTTTTTTCACAACACTTAAAAAAAAAAGCACACTCCAAGAGGTGAAATTATAGTGGATTACCAACATATCCTAGGATGATTTACATAAATGTCAGTCCCATCAAATTCAACAAATATAATAGAATAACAGAGTTGGAAGGGACCTTGGAGGTCTTCTAGTCCAACCCCCTGCTTAAACAGGAAACCCTACACCACTTCAGACAAATGGTTATCCAACATCTTCTTAAAGACTTCCAGTGTTGGGGCATTCACAACTTCTGGAGGCAAGTTGTTCCACTGATTAATTGTTCTCACTGTCAGGAAATTTCTCCTCAGTTCTAAGTTGCTTCTCTCCTTGATTAGTTTCCACCCATTGCTTCTTGTTCTACCCTCAGGTGCTTTGGAAAATAGTTTGACTCCCTCTTCTTTGTGGAACACATAGATATTGGAACACTACTATCATATCTCCCCTGGTCCTTCTTTTCATTAAACTAGACATACCAGTTCCTGCAACCGTTCTTCATATGTTTTGGCCCCCAGTCCCCTCATCATCTTTGTTGCTTTTCTCTGCACTCTTTCTAGAGTCTCCACATCTTTTCTACATTGTGGCAACCAAAACTGAATGCCGTATTCCAAGTGTGGCCTTACCAAGGCATTATAAAGTGGTATTAAACACTTCACTTGATCTTGATTCTATCCCCCTATTAATGCAGACTAGAACTGTGTTGGCTTTTTTGGCAGCTGCAGCACACTGCTGGCTTATATTTAAGTGGTTGTCCCCTAGGACTCCAAGACCCCCCTCACAGTTACTACTCTAGAGCCAGGTACCATCCATACTGTACCTGTGCATTTGGTTTTTCTTGCCTAAATGTTGCCGCTTTGTCTAAATATTGCCATCTAGTCGGCCCTAGGAAAGGTGCCTTCTCTATGGTAGCCCTGGCTGAGAGCCCCTTCCCTTTGAGATCCAGCAGATCCTGCCAGAAGGCTGAAAAGTGACATCTCTTCCTTCAAATGTTGGGATAGGGTGAAGCTGGAGTTGGAAGATACAATTAGTCCTTGTTTAGTAACCACAGTTGGGATCTTTAAGAGTTTAACTTTTACAAGCTGAGATTCAAAGAATGGAAGTGAGAAGCAAAAATAAATTAAAGTAAAGAAGAGTAACCAAGATGATTAGGGGACTGGAGGCTAAAATATATGAAGAACGGTTGCAAGAAGTGGGTATGTCTAGTTTAATGAAAAGAAGGACTAGGGGAGACCTAAAGGACTAAGAAGGACAATATTAGAACACTGCATGATAGCAGTGTTCCAATATTTGAGGGGCTGCCACAAAGAAGAGAGAGTCAAACTATTCTCCAAAGCGCCTGAAGGTAGAACAAGAAGCAATAGCAATAGCAATAGCAATAGCAGTTAGACTTATATACCGCTTCATAGGGCTTTCAGCCCTCTCTAAGCGGTTTACAGAGTCAGCATATCGCCCCCCACAGTCTGGGTCCTCATTTCACCCACCTCGGAAGGATGGAAGGCTGAGTCAACCTTGAGCCAGTGAGATTAGAACCGCTGAACTGCAGATAACAGTCAGCTGAAGTGGCCTGCAGTACTGCACCCTAACCACTGCGCCACCTCGGCTCTATGTTGAATGTTGAATGTTTATTTTATTTATATGCCGCCCTTTTCCCCCGAAGGGGACTCAGGGCGGCTCACAACTCAACTAAGGGAGGGGGATACAGACAAAAATTAAAACAACGCGCAACAATACATAATTTAAAACACACAACAGTCATACCATTCGAGAAGGGGGTAGAAGCTTTTTAGCCCCTGTCGGAATAGCCAGGTTTTGAGGGGTTTGCGGAAGGTCTGGAGGGTGGTGAGGGTTCGAATCTCCACGGGGAGTTCGTTCCAGAGGGTCGGAGCGGCACAGAGAAGGCTCTCCTCCGAGTAGTCGCCAGTCGACACTGGCCGGCGGATGGAATTCGGAGGAGGCCTAATCTGTGGGATCTAATCGGTCTAGAGGAGGTAATTGGCAGCAGGCGGTCTCTCTATGAAGAAGCAATGGGTGGAAATTAACCAAGGAGAGAAGCAGCTTAGAACTAAGGAGCAAATTCCTGACAGAACAATTAATCAGTGGAACAAGTTGCCTCCAGAAGTTGTAAATGCTCTAACACTGCAGGTTTTCAAGAAGAGATTAGATAACTATTTGTCTGAAATGGTATAGGGCCTCCTGCTTGTGCAGGGAGTTTGACTAGAAGACCTCCAAGGTCCTTTCCAACGCCGTTATTCTGCTCTCCTGTTAAATGTTATTCCCAAAGCAGTGGCAATATGTTCCTCCTATCCCTTAGTGCAGTGTTTCTCAACCTTGGGCACTTTAAGAGGAAGCTTGGGAATGGCTTGGGGATTCTGGGATTTGCCAACAACGCGACACACTATACTAGATTCAAGACTACATTTGAAAAATTTAATAATCGCAGTGTTAATATAACATGCTCTGCCTCCCACTCAAATAAACCTTATCATGGTTTAACCTGATGGGCTGGTTCACATCACATGCTGCCACAGTGGCTAGGCTCCTAACCTGCTGCTCTAAAAACCTCCCCCACTCAGTTTTAACTTGGTTTAGCACTTGGCTCAAACTTCGCTTGTGCTGCATTGTATGCTCCAAGGGCAGAACACAAAAGGAGAGCTGGTGAAGGAACATGCTGACTTGCTGGTTGGTCTCCAACTGGGATCTCCGATTCAGCTCGACTGCTCTCCACCTCCCATGTCCATCTTCACCATAAAAACAATGGCAAAAGGACTTGGAAATAGGCTTCCAGAAAGAAGGTATCAGCAGCGAAATCCTGGAGAAAAATTTGCAGGGCTGCTGGTCCCTTGAATCTCTGACTTTGTAACCTGTGGATGACAAAAGAGAAGTATTAGTGGCTCTCCCGTAGACCATAATGATGGAGCAGGAGCATAATTTCTAAATGCTGTGGCATAATCATAGGCTAATCCATGCCAGCACTGATACTAGATTATTAGGCCAAAGGTAGACAATTTTGAAGCAGATTGGCATCCAAATTGGAAAAGGAGCAAGATTTGCTGGGGCGAACAAACAACCTGCCGTATAATTTACTGTTGCTTATATTGTAGCTGTCATCGTAACAGAGATGGGTCATTTTGGGTTGTTGTTTTTTGTGCTTCCTGTGGATTTGAGCAGCTGGCACCTTGGGTGGGAAGGACACAGCCTGCTCTTCTAACTGTTGTGGCTGGACCTGAACAAGGAGGAAGGGACTGAGCCAGAGGTGGGTTCCTACCAGTTCGCACCTATTCGGTAGAATCGGTTCGTCAAATCTCCCGAACTGGTTAGAAGAGGTTCCACCAGTGGATGCAGAAAGCAGGCCACACCNAAGATTTTATGCTTCAAGTAACACAAAGTATTTAGTATTTTTATAGCGAAAAGAGCTAGCCCACAGGTTTCTATGTTGCATACTATATGTGCAATTCTAGTTCCAGAAGGGTTAAGTATATGAGAGCTGATGCAGTCCCTCCCTCTTTTTGCCAGACAGTTGTTCCATAGCAACAGTGAGATCACTGAAGACAGTATTTCATTGATTTCCCCCCCCCCCTTTCCCCTTTGCTTTCTCTTTAAGCTGTCATTTCCACCTATCCATGACTGGGAGAGTAGACATCTTTTATATTTTAATATTTGGCCTACGTAGGACCATTCCTTTTGGCTTTTCTTTCTAAAGCAACACAATCAGTCTTAAAAAATTACATGTTTAGCTATGCATTTAAAAAGAGAGACTGGTTTAGGAGGTTGGATAACTGTGCCTGGCGTAACGGATGTTCTTAAATATTCCTGCCTTATTTGTTGGTCTTCTAGGGAAAAGAACAATGTGGAGCAAGATCTGAAGGAAAAAGGAGAGACAATCAAGCAGAAGACAAGTGAAGTCCAGGTAATTGTCATTTGAATTTTCAGAGTTGGTTGATATAAATAGACCCTTATTGAAAAAAATGTCTTTCAATGAATGGTTTCGTCTTTTAGCATATATGTTATAAGGATTTGTTCCCATTGTGATCAATATATTTGTTAGCTTAGGATTGAAATTGACCTGGTTAATTACATGAATGTCTGTATTATTTGGGAAATAGGCTGAGGGGGAAATGCAGCATTTTTTGTTAGATGTCAATTTTGGCAGTGATGTTATAATGCAAGCACTGTGGCTATGAATAACAGTTTGAGTTTTTGCTTGATATGAACAAGGATTTGCATCTATATGCATTCCTTAAAGCTGAAAATCTGTCGGTGCTTAAATGTAAATCCAGGTGAGAGAATCAAAATGAATCATGCATCCTAAGCTTTTACAGAATCATTTAATCCCTATTGTAACAGAAATAAATGTAGAGCAAAATGCAACCTTATCAAAGGCTGCATAATAGTTCTTTTAGATGGAGCCTTTTAAATTTATTCTTAACCAGTATTTTGTTGCTTTTGCATGACCATTTGCTGGTTATGCAAAATCAAGCAGAACTTACATAAAGCTATTCAGTTGGTTAACAGTTTTACTACAGGTGTTGATATATTTTAAGATTATACTAGCAAAATAATTTCCACATTAATATTTGTCCTATGACATCAATGAAGGGACTACAGAGCCCAGAATTCATTTGATTCTGGAAATATATCTATCTATCTATATCTATATCTATATATCTCTCCAACACTATCAGTAGTGTTCCATTGTAATGGAAAATGAATTTTAGAAGAAAAGCTTTAAAAAAGCAGAGTGTTACTAATGAAACAAACGAATAGTTTCTCTTGAATGTTCTTCTCTGATATAGATTGATGAATAGCTTGTTTCTGTACAATTATTTCTCTAATTATATTAATATTACATTAAGATTGCAAGAATATTACATTTCTTGTAGTCTTTCCAAGAAATATATTGTAATCCAGGCAACATAAGTAGCTTGCTTGATATGCTTTTTTAGGAAGACTTTACAAGATACAATTTTTAAAAATTTATTATAGATACATTTTCTGTCATGTCTTTGTATCCAAGGGCTTTAGCCAGGAGTGTAATGTTCAGAATCATCACTATAAAGTAGGAATGTTTTCAAAACGGGAACATAGCAGAACCCAATTGTTCTACCAGAATAATCAAGTTAAGTTGTGATTTAAGAGAAGTAAAATAAAAATGGCTGAAGTTTTTGTTCTGATTTCAGAACAGCCCTCTCTGAAGTTGAAATGGCCAATTTTTTTTCTGTGACTAGAAAGCCTTGATCTGTTATGAAATTATAACCAAACATTTTAATAATAATAGTATAATAAAACAAATTATCATAACAAGTCTTGGTTCCAATTAAAACCATTTCACATTCAAATTGAAACCACAGGTTTAATCAAATTTAATTCTATTAGTGATATTGAAAGCTTTGCTCAAAAAGCAATCTAAATTGTGTGAAGCTTTTTGTCATTGATAAATCTTGAAATGTATTGTACTTCATTGATAGATGCTTGTATCCTGCAGTGTCTTAGCAATGTGTCTTTGGATACAGGTTGCAGGTAGCACTGGATGAATTGCAGTCATTCTGTTTCTGGGCCACTCTTATGAGTGATGCTTAGCAATAGCCGACAGACATCAGTTAGGGAGACATTTTCTTCTCTACCTTAAGTTGCCCATCTGCCATTTCCACCCACTGAATCGCACCACATTTGCTACTAAGAGAAAAATGTTCTCAGTAATTTTGATTAAGTATTGCTTTTCTTCAGTTCGTCTCTCTCATTTCCTTTCTCATACCCTTCCACCCTCTATTTTGATTTATTTTTCTGTGTGTATTTTATAAATTTCATATGACTTTGTTCATGATAATCCTTGTGAAATATGTGTGCTGAGACTATCTTCATTTTTTCAATTTTTCAAATATGCACCTACCTGTTCACATCCTCTCCCCTCCATCTTGCATCAGAAAGTTAAAATCATTACAACATCATATGATGGATGTTTTAAGAAGAAATGCAGGCCTGTGTTTTTCACTTTTCAGGATCTTCAAGATGAAGTAAGAAGGGAGAGCAATAACTTGCAGAACCTTTTGACTCAGAAGCAGGAGGCAGAAGAAATCCTAAATGGTCTAGAAGAAAAGAAAGCCTGGTTAGAAGAGCAGCTTAGTATGATACGGCAGAAATGTACAGAAGAAGTTGATCTAGTGAGTATTTTTACCTCAGCTGTAGAAAGCTGCATTTTCCTCACTGTTTCACTGGGACTGTTGTATATGTGATGTATATACTTAGGGATTCCTTGTTTAAAGAGATTGGCATGGAAATAAATGTATTAAAAATGAATAACCTCTCCACATCATTGTTGATTTGATTGCTGTGGGAGTTGTTAGACTACTGTTAATACTCTGTTGTGTTACAGGGTTTAGAGTTTTAAGCATTTTAATTAATGTATTCATTGTGAAAGCTACATTAATTATATTTGCATTGTCATGTCTCCGACCTTTATTAATTAACCAAAGAAAAAAAATGAATCAGAGAAAAAGAAGAAAAGAGCAACAACTTAACCACCAGATTTAGTAAGGAAAGAGTAATTGTAACTCCACATTTCTGGGATATAAGGGAGCTGAGGCTAAAAGGCACTGACTGCTCTTCTGTGGCAATGCTGATGCTCTGGAACAGCTTTTTACAGTGGTCTTTACCTCCTCCCTTCTGGCTTTCAGGAAACTACTAAAAATGGAGTTATTCCAGAGGGCATTCTCTTAATTTAAGCATTGCATCACCTTTAGGTGATGTTTTCAATAAAAGACTACTATATTTCATTGAAAACTTTCATACATCATCTCTCTTTGTAAGCATCAATTTTTAAATAAATAAATCATAATTGTTATTAAATAAATAGAGAGAGAAATAGCTGAGACAGGAACATCTGGGGATTTTTCCCAGCAGGAAACTCAAGTCCACTCTTAATTTATATTTTAAACTTGAGAATAAACAAACATGAAGTATGCAAGAGGAAAGAGGAAGCCTCTGGCACACTGTCAGTTCCCCAAATCATGATTTTGCATTTCAGGAATATTTTATCTGGGCCATCTGGTAAAATGACACAGCAAAAATAATGTTTTTGCAGTACAGCTTTTTTTGAATATGCCATGAAAGCATGTCTCATAATGCAACTATTAGCATGTTACAGTGGAATATTTTATTTTTTTATTAATTTATTTCTATCTCACCTTTATTATTTGTACAAATAACTCAAGGTGACAAACATATCCAACACACCTTCCTCCTCCTATTTTCCCCACAACAACCACTCTGTGAAGTGAGTTAGGCTGAGAGAGAGAATGACTGCCCCAAGAAGTCATAGTATCCTGCTTTCTAGTCTGGTGCCTCAACCACTAGACCCATGATGGTGGCCCACAACTCCCTTTCTGATGGCATATGAGCCGTCACCCCAGTTCGGCTCTGCTGCACATGCGTGCGTGCCTCCCACCAGCCAGCTGGTCTTTGGATCTCTGCCACACATGCGGGAGGGGAGAGGCGCATGCGGGAGGGCCTTGCACACATGTGGAGGGGGCGCATTGCATTTTGGGCATTCAGGTGCGCACACACTTTGGGCACTCAGTCCGGAAAAGGTTAAGCATCACTGCAATAAACCAAACTGGCTCTGATACGCTTCTGGTTTGGTTAATTCTTTCTTGTTAAAAATGTTGATGGAGAGAACTGCTAGCTAGTTTTAAATTCACCTTTCACTTTATAGATTACATCTCTAAAAAAAGAAATAGCAGAGCAAGAATCAAAAATCTCTGGATATAAGGATGATTTGAGTAAAGCTCAAGAAGAGCTCAGCAGGCTACAGCAAGAAGCTTCAGAGTTAGAGAAAAATGTGGAGGAAGGAAAATTGCAATTAGCACCTCTCCAGCAGGATCTTCAAGACTCCCAACAAGATATAACTTTAGTAAGTCCCTCTGAAATTGTTCTTTTCCATCATGTTTCCATTGTTGAATTTCCTCAGTTACAAATGATATTCTATCATTCTACATTTAACTAAGAAATAAAGCTGAATTCAGTTGTTAAAGCTGAATTCCTCCTGTTCTGGTTTTATGTGTCATTCATAATAGTACATTTTTATAGTGTAAATTCTCAATTTCATGTACTCTAATTCAGATGAGTGAAAAGTATTAACCTGAGACAGGGAAATAAGTGTGTATTTATGTTACTGTTTTATATATTTAAAGTTTTATATGTCATCCATCACTATTTTTGAGGTTTGTGTTTTGCAATATATATAACAGTTTTTTTATTGATAGCAATATTGAGCAATTGCTTTTTGCAATTCACCAAAACCATTTTATCAATCAGAAGTTGATGTTTTGTACTTTTGCTTTTCCTTTTATTTCCTTTCTATTCTACTAGAAGGATAAGTAATCTTGAATGTGAGTAATTTAAACATTGTAGGCAAGCATGTTAATGGCCTGTAGGTTCATAGTATTGTTGCTTTTGCTGGATTTTTTTTTAATCAGATAAATGTTGCCAGTTATTAACCAAAGATGTTGTCTTCTTTTTTTTTTATTCAAAAGTTTTATTTCTTTTAAAACAACATTTCATCATTCCTCAATCAGTAATGTTGTCTTCTTTATGCAATATTTCATAAACCTGTTTAGCTATAATCGGATGTAAACTACTCAGATATTTAAGTCAAAAGTCACACAATTGATCATTTCCAGGTCTAGTTTTCAATCCTTTTGATTCAATTTTTAACCATTTCTGCTTTTATTGTCAATTCTTTCATTTGATTTTTATATTCATATTCAAATATTTTTATCCATCTAGCATTTGTATTCTAATCTTTTTGAGTTTCCCACAATCTTTTCAGAATTGGATTGTTTCCTTTTTGCTTGGTTTTCAATTCTATTTTTATTCTTTGGTAGAATATTTATTTATTTATTAAATTTATTATTAGGTGCAAGAAAAATTACTGGAGCTCAAACAGTTGGAAAACAGCCAGTTTAACTGGGAAGCCCAACCACATGGCATATTGATTAATGGGAATGCAGATCACTCTAGCCTCAGCAACAGCAGCAGTGAAACTGTTAACTTAAATGAGAATGCTGAAAGAGAGAATCCAGCAGATTCTGAACAAGTAAATTATGAAACTCCTGTGAGTGGTGTCTAGATTATTATTTTTTAAATCTGATTGTGTAGTGAAGCTTGAGTTTCAGCGTGATAAATAAAATATACCAAGCTTTGTTCTAGAACAGTGGTTCTCAACCTGTGGGTCGGGACCCCTTTGGGGGNCTCTTCTAACCTGTTCGGTAGATTTGATGACCCGGTTCTACCGAATAGGTGCGAACTGGTAGGAACCCACCTCTGTCCGAACTGCACAGAATCTTATCTAGAGGTTCTCCCAAACCCCTGCGAACCCCCAGCGGTTCATATTAAGTGGTGTAGGTAACATTTCCCTCTTTGAATCCATTGAAAAGTGTGCGAGTGGATAAAAGTGCTTGGCTTAAACCTGATGTTATAGCAGCCTCTTTTTCAGCTTCTCCTCTTTATATCACCGTTAACCCATCCCCAGACCGTGATTACAGCGGTTAAAGTAGTAGCTTCTCACTTAAGTCTCAAAATCTGCTAAGCTTAGTCATCCGTTCTCATGAGGACTCCCAGTGACTGAGAGCAGATTTAATGCAAACGGAATGGGAATCAGTGATGGGAAGAGTTAATTTCACGCCAATATGGATATCTGTGGATTCAAAGAGAGATATAAGAGCAATGGTGGTGTAGTGGTTAAAATGCAGTATTGCAGGCTAATTCTGCCGACTGCCAGCAGTTTGATTCTCATCGGCTGTCAACCGTCCCATTGGCAAGCACAACAAAAGAAACACCTGGGAAAATTTTATTACCAAGAGTAAAACTTTACTGATAGATCATTATAGGCACAGAAGAAGAAAAGCCAGTTCTGAGGTTTTGGCGCAAAGTGCAGTATAATGAAATCCCCTTTTCCCATCCCCAGGCCGCCCAGTGCCATTGTCAACCAATCCAGTTCAAAGATTTTATTTTGGGAAAATAGTCTGCACCTTTCAAAAGTCTTCAGCTCACAAACTTAGGGTTGTAAGATTTTCTCAAGCTGAAAAAGGTATGGTTGGAATTTACCTGGTTTGAATGTGAGCGTGCTCACATTTGCAAACTGGTAGGGAAGGTAAGTGAATACCACCTCTGGATCACATGACATTGCACTTGAACAAATAACTTACCGTATTTTTTGGACTATAAGACGCACCATGATTTTGAAGAGGTAATTTTTTTTTAAAAAAATTA